CTGAGGTGGAAAATCGCCTGAACCAGAAATTAAATTATCAAAATCTCTGCTTTTCCCTCAATTACAGAAGCTAAACAAAAATTACACAACTCACACCTGAGGTGGAAAATCACCTGAACCAGAAGATTAAATTACCAAAATCTTTGTTTTTTCCTCAATTACAGCAGCTAAACAAAAATCACACAACTCACACCTGAGGTGGAAAAATCACCTGAACCAGAAATTAAATTATCAAAATCTCTGCTTCTCCATCAGTTACAGCAGCTAAAACAACAAAAAATTACACAACTCACACATCAGGTGGAAAAATCACCTGAACCAGAAATCAAATTATCAAAATCTTTGGTTTTCCTCAATTAAAGCAGCTAAAGCAACAAAAAATTACACAACTCACACACCAGGTGGAAAAATCACCTGAACCAGAAATCAAATTAACAAAATCTTTGTTTTTCCATCAATTACAGCAGCTAAAACAACAAAAAATTACACAACTCACACATCAGGTGGAAAAATCACCTGAACCAGAAATCAAATTATCAAAATCTTTGTTTTTCCCTCAATTACAGCAGCTAAAACAAAAAAAAATTACACAACTCACACCTGAGGTGGAAAATCACCTGAACCAGAAATCAAATTGTCAAAATCTTTGTTTTCCCCTCAATTACAGCAGCTAAACAAAAAAATAAAAATACACAACTCACACATGAGGTGGAAAAATCACCTGAACCAGAAATCAAATTACCAAAATCTTTGTTTTTTCCTCAATTACAGCAGCTAAAACAACAAAAAATTACACAACTCACACATCAGGTGGAAAAATCACCTGAACCAGAAATCAAATTGTCAAAATCTTTGTTTTTTCCTCAATTACAGCAGCTAAACCAAAAAAAAAAATAAAAATACACAATTCACCAGCAGCCTCCCACCCCCCAGCCCTTCAGGGTACCTGCTCAGCTTTGTTTACAAGGGATTTCTTCTNGAGAAATCCCCAAATTCCAGCCCAGCTCCAAAGGAGCTGCTGAGAGGGGCAGGGATGGAGAAATCCCCAAATTCCAGCCCAGCTAAGAGGGGCAGAGATGGAGAAATCCCCAAATTCCAGCCCAGCTAAGAGGGGCAGGGATGGAGAAATCCCCAAATTCCAGCCCAGCTCAGAGGGGCAGGGATGGAGAAATCCCCAAATTCCAGCCCAGCACATCCCTCTGAGAACAGAAGAATTCTCCAACAGAAGAATCGAACATTTTGAATTTTTTTAAACAGAAGAATTCTCTTATTCCCTATTCCTATTTCCTCCTTACAAATCAGATTTAGCAGATTTCATTTCCTGATCTGTTCCTCAGTTGAGTGTTACCCACCCACACGAAATATTTGGGTACAGAATTCCTGCTCAAATGTCCTGCTGGGCAACTCCCCTGCCCTGAGCCTTTCTCAAATCATTATTTCTTCAAACAACCATCGCTTCTCCAAGGGACACAAAATTGTAGCAAAACTTCCCAGCTCTCCCACCTGGACTTGGGAACAACCCAAGGATTTGTTTTGCTCAGTTTTAAATCATTTCAGGAGGATCTGAAATTTGATTTTTGTGAATTCTCTCTCACACACACACACATTTTCTTTCTCTTCCAGTGGGTTCTGTTTCAATTATTCCAAACCCCACACTGCCTCATCCTCATGGGGGAGGCAAACCAGAGCACATTCAAAAGTTCTTTATCCCTGTGCCGTGAGTAATCCCACGGGGAAAAAAAAAAAAAAAAAATAAAAAATAAAAATAAAAAATCGAGCAGGAGACGCTGAAACCTTGGCTAAATTCCAAATTCTGAATTCCTTTCCAACCCAAACCATGCCAGGATTTTAAACCATCCCTGGATACTGAAGCTCTTGCCCCAAAAAGCTCAATTAAAAGGTTTTTTTTTTTTAATAGGATTGCTTCAGACAAACAGAATTCCCCCCCAAAGAACAAAAGCCCCAAACATTCCTCAAGTTAAAAGATAAGGACAGGGATTGATTCCAAATATCTGCTTGGAATCTCACTTCCATTTTCCACCCCTGAAACACACCACAAAAAAGAAAAATATCCCAAAAATAGCTCACACCAGCAGCACTGCCTGGAATGGTTATTAATCAATTAGGGCTTGGATTAAAGCTAAATAGATACAGGGCACTTCTGCAAAGAGCACCTGAACCAGAAATCAAATTATCAAAATCCCTGCTTTTCCCTCAATTACAGCAGCTAAACAAAAAAAAATTACACAACTCACACCTGAGGTGGAAAATCACCTGAACCAGAAATCAAATTATCAAAATCTTTGTTTTTCCCTCAATTACAGCAGCTAAAGCAACAAAAAATCACACAACTCACACCTGAGGTGGAAAATCACCTGAACCAGAAATTAAATTATCAAAATCTTTGGTTTCCCTCAATTACAGCAGCTAAAACAACAACAACAAAAAAATTACACAACTCACACCTGAGGTGGAAAAATCACCTGAACCAGAAATTAAATTGCCAAAACTTTTGTTTTTTCCTCAATTACAGCAGCTAAAACAACAAAAAAATAAAAATACACAACTCACACGAGGTGGAAAAATCACCTGAACCAGAAATTAAATTATCAAAATCTTTGGTTTCCCTCAATTACAGCAGCTAAACAAACAAAAAAAAATTACACAACTCACACACCAGGTGGAAAAATCACCTGAACCAGAAATTAAATTATCAAAATCTTTGGTTTCCCTCAATTACAGCAGCTAAACAAAAAAAAAAAAAATTACACAACTCACACCTGAGGTGGAAAATCGCCTGAACCAGAAATTAAATTATCAAAATCTCTGCTTTTCCCTCAATTACAGAAGCTAAACAAAAATTACACAACTCACACCTGAGGTGGAAAATCACCTGAACCAGAAGATTAAATTACCAAAATCTTTGTTTTTTCCTCAATTACAGCAGCTAAACAAAAATCACACAACTCACACCTGAGGTGGAAAAATCACCTGAACCAGAAATTAAATTATCAAAATCTCTGCTTCTCCATCAGTTACAGCAGCTAAAACAACAAAAAATTACACAACTCACACATCAGGTGGAAAAATCACCTGAACCAGAAATCAAATTATCAAAATCTTTGGTTTTCCTCAATTAAAGCAGCTAAAGCAACAAAAAATTACACAACTCACACACCAGGTGGAAAAATCACCTGAACCAGAAATCAAATTAACAAAATCTTTGTTTTTCCATCAATTACAGCAGCTAAAACAACAAAAAATTACACAACTCACACATCAGGTGGAAAAATCACCTGAACCAGAAATCAAATTATCAAAATCTTTGTTTTTCCCTCAATTACAGCAGCTAAAACAAAAAAAAATTACACAACTCACACCTGAGGTGGAAAATCACCTGAACCAGAAATCAAATTGTCAAAATCTTTGTTTTCCCCTCAATTACAGCAGCTAAACAAAAAAATAAAAATACACAACTCACACATGAGGTGGAAAAATCACCTGAACCAGAAATCAAATTACCAAAATCTTTGTTTTTTCCTCAATTACAGCAGCTAAAACAACAAAAAATTACACAACTCACACATCAGGTGGAAAAATCACCTGAACCAGAAATCAAATTGTCAAAATCTTTGTTTTTTCCTCAATTACAGCAGCTAAACCAAAAAAAAAAATAAAAATACACAATTCACCAGCAGCCTCCCACCCCCCAGCCCTTCAGGGTACCTGCTCAGCTTTGTTTACAAGGGATTTCTTCTGCAAAGGACTTTTCTTTTTTTGTTTTTTTGGTTTTTTTTCCTCACTCACCCACCCTCTCTGCCCAGATCTCCTCTGACAAATCTGCTCCTCCTAGCAGCAGGGAATTTTTTATTGTTTTTTTTTTTCCTGGGGATTTTTCAAGGCAGCAGAAAGTTCCAAAACACAGAAATCCCCAGCACTGGGGCAATGCTGAGGAGTGTCAGAAGTTGTAAAATCTCACATTACAGAATGCTCTGGGAACAGCAAATTCTTCCCAGTGATTTAAACCTTCAGACAAAAAAAAAATAAAATAAAATAAAATTTCAGCTGCATGAAAAGCAGCCACGACTTGAAAAGAAGCACAAGTTCCCTAAATTCACATGTTCACACTGTGATGGATCCAACAAATTTCCAGCCTGGCAGAGATGAGAACATTTTAAAAACTTGACAGATTTGGGGGTAGTTTTGTTTAGTTTGGTTTTTTGGGTTTTGTTTTTTCTAATAATGAAACTCTGTGGTTTATAAGAACTACCGAAAGTAAAATGGTGTTTTTTTTTAATTTTTTTTTTTTTCTCTAAGATTTAGTTTGTTTCTTGTTGAAAGGAACAAACTTGAAAAATAACGGATGTTTAAACCATATTTAGAGGCTCAGCTAAAGCAACTAATGAGTGTTAGGTAAGATGTCTCTCCATGCAGAACAATCTGTTCCAAAAGTTCCCAAAAATAGCAATTCTCTAAACACTGCTGTGATGCAATATTTAACCACTTGCTGCTGCAGCAGCAGCTGAATTGTTGGATCTCAAAAATGTGGAATTTTTGAGATTTCTGTGTTTCCCCCCCTGGAAAACACTGCTCTGGAGCTGAAACCTCGGAGAAGGCTTGGAAATGTGAATAATGAGTTAGGAAATCTGAATAAGGAGTTAGTAAATCTGAACAATGAGTTAGGAAATCTGAATAGTGAGTTAGTAAATATAAATAATGAGTTAGTAAATCTGAACAATGAGTTAGTAAATCTAAACAATGAGTTAGGAAATCTGAATAATGAGTTAGTAAATATAAATAATAAGTTAGGAAATCTGAATAATGAGTTAGAAATCCCCAGTGTGCAGTGGGTCAGGTGTGTGTGTTTTCACTGGGGTTTAAATTTGAGGTTTTTATGTAGAGTGGTGGATGTGGGACAAGATGGAGAATTTGGGGTGGTGTCTTTTCTTCTTGTTCATCTTCTTCTTCCTCACAGAACTCGGGCAGTGACCTTTGGTTGGTCACTCTGAGGGTGGTGGGAATCCATTAATGGGTCAGAAGGATCAATAATTTAGGTGTTAAATTTTATTGGTTTGTTTAGATTTAAAAGGCTTTGGAGCAGCCTCAGCTGGAGCCATTTCCCCACTTCCAGCCAGGAGCTGGAGGTGCTTTTGTGTCACACTTTGTTGAATTTTTTTTTTAAATAAAATATAATAACCATCCAAACCCTGAACAGGAGAATCATCTCAATCACCTTTCTAATAGTTCTGGCTCTGAGAACAAAGAGCTGAAGGTGATGGCAGAGCCCTGGTGGGTGCTGCAGAGCCCAGCTCACCCCCCGTACCCCCAAACCCTTTCCCCACCCCCCCCCCAATTCCTTACCTAGGCTGGTGGGTTTGATCAGCTCGTCCAACAAATCGTAAAAAGGCAATTTCTGCAGTTTGATGTCGGGGTGCACGGGGTGCAGGGCCGATGTGAGGTGGGGCAGTTCCAGTTCGTGTTTGGGTGCCAGCAGTGACACGGGCAGCAGGGGGGACGTGGCGGGGTGACCGTCGTAGGAAAGCTGAGGAATGCCCGACGGCGACAGCGCGGCCGGCATGGAGCTCGAGTGCACGGAGGGCAGGGACAGCTCGGCCGGGCTCATGATTTTCTGCGGGAATCTCCTCCTGTAAAGTTCTTTGATTTTCATCTGCACGGCGGGGCTGCAGCCGGCCTTGAGCAGGTGCAGGGCTTTGGTGAGCAGTTCGTGTTTGCGGCCGTGTTTGTTCCTCCCCGCGTAACCCAGCAGAACCTGCAGCTCCGACACTCGAAGGCTCATCACCATTTGCTTCAAAAAATTAAAAAAAAAAATACACAACACATAATTACTGATGGGGTTTCCAGCATGTTCGCTGTTAAAAAATGAGAGATAAAAAATCAAATTCAGCAAAATTTAGGTTGTTTTTATTCGATATACAGAGCAAGCAGGGCTGGGGAAGGTGAGGGGTCACTGCTCACTGCACTCCCCAGCCAAGCTCGGTTTCAGCCTCTCCTCACACTGTGGGCTCTCACTGTAATCAATAATTCTTGGGGTTTTGTTGTTATAAACAGTGGTGGTTGAATAAACATCTTTACACAAATTCACACATCATCAGTCACAGACAGCCATCTGATAACCACCTGAGAA